GATGGGGTTTCACCATGTTAGCCAGGATGGTCTCGATCTCCTGACCTCATGATCCGCGCGCCTCAGCCTCCCAAAGTGTGGGATTACAGGCGTGAGCCACCGCGCCGGCCCTTAGGGGACTTTTTAGTCATGCAGAGGAGGTGGAAAACTTGAGATGGAAAGTTTTTCAGGAGGTGGATTTTGTCCTACTGGTTGTTATTAAAGTGATTCTTTTTCAATTCCCAGTTCAACTTTAGTTGGCTTACCAAGAGTGAAGCGTGACAAGTACTCAGTCTTCAACTTTCTGACGCTTCCAGAGACAGCTTCCTTGCCCACCACTCAAGCACCAAGGGAAAAAGTATCACAGCACCGAGGTCCCGACAGTGAGTAGGGCATCCTGGGGGTCTCTGATTGACCAGGGCCTCAACCCCTAGCCTGTAGGAAGACAGAATTAAAGGGTAGTTTAGTCCTAACGATATGAATGGTGCATATTCTCCCTCTGTTGAGGGAATTCCTCTTATTAATAACTTAGCTCATGTTGTAATGGTCCAGATGTTTACTCCTTGGGGTTGGGGCTCTGTCTCTGCCTCTGCCACCTACCTCCCCAACACCCCCCGCACGGTGCCAGGCCCTGTAATAGGCATGCTGACATTCTGAGCGAGTGAAAGGGCAGTGGTGAAGAACTTGCCTTTTCCTTGCTAATGCTGGAGTTATGTCCTACTTTTCAGAATCAAGAAAACCATCCAGATGGGATACCTCTAAACAGGAAAAGAAAGAAGATTCCATTAGTGAATTTTTAAGCTTGGCTAGATCAAAAGCCGGGCCACCTAAACAAGAGTCCAGCCCCTTAGTAAACAAAGAGGAAGAGCGTGCACCAGAATCATCCACAAATCAGGTATTTGGGGCTTCCGGATTCTCTTTGCCACGCTGAGTGTGATGGCCCTTGCTTTTCTCTTTGTTGAAACTTTCTCCTTGTGACTCACCAGTAGAGGCAGCCAACTATTGATCCATTTCCCCTTAAAGGCCATGTGGCTTGTTTCTAACTTTTGGCTATAACAAATAAAGCTGCTGGGAGCGTTCATGTGCAGGTTTTTGTGTGAATATGTTTTCATTTCTCTAGAGTACAAACCTAGTAGTGGGAATCCTGGAAAATATGTACGTGTATATTTAACTTTATAAGAAGCTGCCAGACTGTATTCCAAACTTATTTTTGCCTTCTGTATTTTGAAGTGCACATTTAGGATTCCTATTTCTCTCTCTTTTTTTTTTTTTTTGAAATGAAGTCTTGGTCTGTCACCCAGGCTGGAGTGCAGTGGCACGATTTCAGCTTACTGTAAGCTCTGCCTCCCCTCCCGGGTTCAACTGATTCTCTTGCCTCAGCCTCCCAAGTAGATGGGACTACAGGTGTGCACCACCATGCCTGGCTAATTTTTGTGTGTTTAGTAGAGATGGGGTTTCACCATGTTGGCCAGGCTGGTCTCAAACTAGGATTGCTCTTTCTTGGTGGGCAACATAGTGAGATCCCATCTTTACAAAAAATTAAAAAACTAGTTGGGTGTGGTGGTGTGCACCTGTGGTCCCAGATACTTAAGTGGCTGGGGTGGGAGGATTACTTGAGCCCAGGAGGTCAACACTGCAGTGAGCTATGGTCACACCATTGCTCTCCAGCCTGGGTGACAGAGTGAGACCCTGGCTCAAAAAAACCCCAAAACAAATTATTATTCCTCTGTACATAATGAGGTGAATTGACCCTTTTTTTCTCCTGGCTGCTTCCAAGATTTTTACTTGGTCTTTGGATTTTAGCGGTTATATTGTGATGTATCTGGGTGTGAATTCTTTTGAGTTTATTTTGTTTGGGGTTTGCTAAGTTGCCTGAATCTAAGTTTGGAAATAGAACAGAGGCACGGTGCTCTACTGCATTTTTGGGGATCCTTTGCACTTCTGATTAATGACCAGTCCATGAGAGATTTCAGCTGCTTTGACCTCATCATCACATTCTACAGTTGTTGACTCAGAAACACCACAAAAATAAAAGCTATGTGAGTGATCACTATTTAGTTGGGTGGTGTGTGGCTATGGATATCCATATACATGAGCATAAACATAAATATGTGTGTCTAGGAGTATATTCTAGAATGTCTCCTCCCTTTTACCCTTGCCTCTGTATCCCTGACTCTTATTTCACTGTCAATACAGACAGTCAACAAAGGTGTGGACGCACAGGCTGAAGAAGGGAGCCGCCCATCCATGGACTTATTCAGGGCCATCTTTGCCAGCTCCTCAGATGAAAAGTCCTCATCCTCCGAGGATGAACAAGATGACAGCGAGGACGATCAGGCAGGCTCTGGGGAGGCCAACTTCCAAAGCTCCCAAGACACTGACTTGGGGGAAACATCATCCGTGGCTCATGGTATGTCAGTATTTCAGACTCAAGGATCTAAAGAAGAAGAAAATGACTCTGCGACAGAGTCTTAAACCCAGATGATTAGCAATCAATGATATGTAATCTTTTATATAAATACAATTTTTTTTTTTTTTGAAACAGGATCTTGCTCTGTCCCCAGGGTGGAGTACAGTGGCTCAATCTTTGGCTCACTGAGGCCTCCACCTCCTGGGCTCAAGCAGTCCTCCCACTTCAGCCTCCTGAGTAGCTGGGACTACAGGCATGTGCTACCACGCCTCGCTAATTTTTGTATTTTTAGTAGAGATAGGGTTTTGCCACGTTGCCCAGGCTGGTGTTGAACTCCTAGACTTAAGTCATCTGCCTGCCTCGGCCTCCCAAAGTGCTGGGATTACAGGCACGAGCCACCGCACCTGGCCAATCTTATATTTTTAATTGAGATAGAACAGAGCTGGTTTTTTTTCTATTAGATATGTATCTCTGGTATATTTTTTGGATCACTGTGTTTGATTTTCCAACTTATCCTAATTGAGAAGTATTTAAATATAGTAAAAATTTCAGGCAGGCATGGTGATTCACATCTGTAATCTGAGCACTTTGGGAGGCTGAGGTGGGTGGATCAGTTCAGATCAGAAGTTCGAGACCAGCCTGGCCAACACGGTGAAATCCTGTCTGTACAAAAATTAGCGGAGCATGGTGGCACACACCTATAATCCTAGCTACTCAGGAGGCTGAGGCAGGAGAATCACTTGAACCTGGGAGGTGGAGGTTTCAGTGAGCCAAAATTGAACCGTTGTACTCCAGCCTGGGTGATAGAGCAAGACTCTGTCTCAAAGCAAAAAAAGAAAGTAACAATTTTATTTTAAAAGATAGCTTTTTTTTTTTTTTTTGAGGTGGAATCTCACTATCATCCAGGCTGGAGTGCAATGGTGTGGTCTTGATTCACTGCAACCTCCACCTCCTGGGTTTAAGCGATTGTCCTGCCTCAGCCTCCCAAGTAGCTGGGATTATAGGCGTGCACCACCATGCCTGGTTAATTTTTGTATTTTTGGTAGAGATGGGATTTCACCATGTTGGCCAGGCTGGTCTCAAACTCTGGGCCTCAAGTGATCCACCTGCAGTGGGCTCCCAAAGTGCTAGGATTACAGGTGTGAGTCACCGTGCCTGGCCAGAAATAACCAATGTAAACACTTTGATGTATAGTTTTCCAGACTTTTTTTCTGAGATGGAGTCTCTCTGTTGCCCAGGCTAGAGTGCAGTGGCACAATCTCGGCTCACTGCAACCTCTACCTCCTGGTTTCAAGCGATTCTTCTGCCTCAGCCTGCCAAGTAGCTGGGATTACAGGTGTGCACCACCATGCTCAGCTAATTTTTGTATTTTTAGTAGAGATGGCGTTTCACCATATTGGCCAGGCTAGTCTCGAACTCCTGACCTCAGGTGATCCGCCCACCTCAGCCTCCCAAAGTGCTGGGATTACACAATCCCAGTGCCTGGCTAGTTTTCCAGACTTTTAAAATTTTTATATCTCTTCTATCTGAACATACAGTAATCTGTTTAAAAAATAAGATTATTAACATGAATATGATCATTTATCTTCAGGGTTTTTTCTTTTTTTTCTTTTTTTTGAGATGGAGTCTCGCTCTGTCGCCCAGGCTGGAGTGCAGTGGCCGGATCTCAGCTCACTACAAGCTCCGCCTCCCGGGTTTACGCCATTCTTCTGCCTCAGCCTCCCGAGTAGCTGGGACTACAGGCGCCCGCCACCTGGCCCGACTAGTTTTTTGTATTTTTTAGTAGAGACGGGGTTTCACCGGGTTAGCCAGGATGGTCTGTATCTCCTGACCTCGTGATCCACCTGTCTCGGCCTCCCAAAGTGCTGGGATTACAGGCTTGAGCCACCGCACCCGGCCAAGGTTTTTTCTTTGATAATTTATTTGGAGTGAAACTTTGTGTCCCGCAGTTCTCTGCGATGGGACATAGTCTTTCACTCCTGATGGTTTGTAAGTTGTTTGCTTCTCAGATGGCCCTTTCTTGGGGACACATTTCTACTTTTCAGGTCTTAGGGGCGCTAGGCTATGTGCCCACAGGTACACTCGGCACTCTGTACCTCAGCCATTGGTGCCCTTGGTCACAGGCGCCCTCATGTGACTGACTTCCAGCTCCGGAGTTCACAAGGGCAGCGCCGGGGTATGCAAGTTCACTGCTGCATCCTTAGCACCTGGCAGCAGTGAAGTGGTGTGGGCAAGCATACGTTATCTGGTGGCAAAAGACATGAATGAAAGACTCAGAGACATGAACATGGGGCAGGCAAATGACATGAACACCCTGCTGTTTTTCAGCTCTCGTGCCAGCACCCCGGGAGCCGCCACCTTCCATCCCGATACAAAAGATGCAGATAGATGAAAGAGAAGAGTTCGGCCCACGGCTGCCTCCCGTCTTCTGCCCCAGTGAGTGCAGAGCCCTTTGGTTCACCCATTTTTATCAGTGTGTGACTGCCCTGAGATGGGGACAGTGTGACTTACAGCCAATCAAACACATGCGCTTGCTTCTGGTTTATATGTTTTCAGTCACATTTTAAACCCGTTGTCTCCACCTAGTGCCTAAAATGATAGTTGTTTCTGTACAGCTTCAGAGACCTCCAAACTTTATTTCCTTACCTGCCACATGTTTACAGGAGGGTCCTAAGTATCTTAAGTTTTGTTATACAAGTTTCCCAACAGAGCTTAACGAAAAAGAGGCTGGCCGGGCGCGGTGGCTCATGCCTGTAATCCTAGCACTTTGGGAGGCTGAGGTGGGAGGATCATGAGGTCAAGAGATCGGACCATTCTGGCCAACATGGTGAAACCCCATCTCTACTAAAAATGCAAAAATTAGCTGGGCATAGTGGCGCACGCCTATAGTCCCAGCTACTCGGGAGGCTGAGGCAGGAGAATCGCTTGAAGCCGGGAGGCAGAGGTTGCAGTGAGCTGAGATTGTGCCACTGCACTCCAGCCCAGGTGACTGAGCAAGACTATCCCCTCCCCAAAAAAAAAACAGAGAGAGAAAGAGGCTGCAGCCAGGCACAGTGGCTCTAGCCGGGCGGGTGGCTCACGCCTGTTATCCCAACACTTTGGGAGGCTGAGGTGGGCGGATCACTTGAGGTCAGGAGTTTGAGACCACCCTGGCGAATTTGGTGAAACCCCATCTCTACTAAAAATATAAAAATTAGCCAGGCATGGTGGTGTGTGCCTGTCATCCCAGCTACTCAGGAGGCTGAGGCACGAGAATCACTTGAACCTTAGAGGCGAAGGTTGCAGTGAGCCGAGATTGAGATTACGTCACTGCACTCCAGCCTGGGTGACAGAGCGAGACTTTGTCTCAAAAAAAAAAAAAAAAAAAAAAAAGGCCTT